AGTTCTTTTAGAACCCTTGGATGAATGCCATCCGGTCCCGGAGATTTGTTAACATTAAGTTTTTCTATTTGTTCCAAAACCTCCTCTAATGACACTTCAATCTGGGACAGTTCCTCAGATTCATCACCCACAAAGGACGGTGCAGATTCAGGAATCTCCCCAACGTCCTCAGCCGTGAAGACTGAAGCAAAGAAATCATTTAGTTTCTCCAATGGCTTTATCGTCCTTGATTGCTCCTTTTATAGCTCGATCATCTATGGGACCCACAGGTTTTTTAGCAGGCTTCCTGCTTCTAATGTACTTAAAAAACATTTTATTTCTTTTTGAGTTTTTGGCTAGCTGTTCCTCAATCTTTTTTTGCTTTTCTTATTACTTGTTACATGTTCCTTAACATGATCCTCAACATGATCCTTACACTCATGATCCTTAACTCTGTACACTCATGATCCTTAACTCTGCTGCAAGGTATTGTACTTTTATAACTGTTTTCTGACTACAATTTTGCTCCTGTTACCCATTGCTAACTTCAGTTTTGTGATGTGATTTATCTCATAAATTGCTACTTAAAAGGTTAGTGTCAGAAAACCAGTGCTTCACATCAGCTTTCAAATAAAGGATTAAAGTGTTTGTTTACAGCTCTAACTTTTCCAGAGATAGTGGTAGCTAACTTCAAGTCTCTGCTAAAGTAGAAATAAATAAGGTGGTGACTGAAATTACATGAATTTAAGGTCTTCTATCTGCTTGGACTAATACCAGGGTAAGCTTTTAATAACTTGACCAAATTCTCTTAAATGTGGTAAGCCTTTAAGCATGGGACCTATATCATATTTTGTTCCTCAGGGTTTTTTTGTCTACTGCCCATTGTTACAGTAGGCAAGAAACTGGGAGCTAAAGGAAAACAAAAATCTGAAGTTGAAAGTCTTGAAGCTTCCTTAAAAGTAGCTATTAAAACTTTGTACTCTTCAAGCATCACAATTGCTCTTTGAACAGCCAAGTACTGGAAAAGGAGTACTCTTCTATAAAAGTGCATATTTTAGGTAAAATATGCAAACTGTCTTTTGCCTGATTAAACATAATTGGGCAAATAGCGATTGCTTGAAAACATGGGATTATACTGAAGCATGTGTGACATTGCATTCCACTGGATGGAGTCAAAATTTCTGTTGGTCAGAAGCCATGTTCTGCTGACAGTTAACAGACTTTCTGTAACTGAAGTACTAGGAGGTCTGTGTTTTGGTGGAGGAAGATCAGGATTATTCTGTTGCTGTAAAACTATAGTGAGGAGCATAGTGGCAACTCTTAAGTAGTATGAAGCCACAGAATTATTACAATATTGATTTATGAATTATAGTTTTGGTCAGTCATCATTGTTCTTGTCTGTCATGTTGCATAATGACCTTATATTACTTAGGTATCTGACCTTTATAATTTTATAATATGTTGAGTGAATGTAGTATTTGAACTCCACCTTTGTTACGCATGTACTAATTTTTCCTTCATTTTTTCTTCCTCATTTTTGTCTTTTATGCTTTTTTAAGATAAGAAGTTACTGGATTTTTTTAAAGGGATAACTAAATCGTTAAAGGAGCAATAATTTTTTTGCCCAGATTATTTCTGCTTTTAAAAGTGGAGCAAATCTATTTGAAGCTAATCTGGATTCAATGCCTAGCAGTAAATGATTAAAAAGTTGATGTAAATTGAGTCGATTGTCGTATGGGATTTGAAATGTCCCCATTTAGATACTTCTGGCGTATATATTTCTGGCCATTTCTGAAGATGTTCCTTGGATGGACAGGGCATGTGAATGGGACTCTCGATACTTCTGTGGTACAGAACAATTTAAAAATTAGTCTGGAAAAAACAGCATTTGACTGTTGAACAGTAAGGCTCAATTCCCCCCTCACCTCTCATTAGTGCATTGCTCCTTAACCCTAGAGTGGTAAGTGACTAGTTGAGTAGTGATTTGACTGATCGCTTCCTCCCCCCCAACACCTTGCTGCCTCTGATTCCCAGTTTGCACCCTCTCCCCTGCTGTACCTCTGCCTTTTAAATGTATTAAGAGCTGCCGAGCCGCAGCAGGATTAGCTCTCGGGGGCTGGGTGCTAACCCCACTGTGGCTGTGAAGTCTCCTCCCTTGTCAATTAGTGGATGGAAATTCCATTGACTACTCCATTAGCTGATTAAATGAAATTTATCATCCCTATTTAATCCCTCTCAAAATCCAGGAATTCACCGCACACAGGTCTTTGCTGTGCGTACCCAAAGAGCTGTAACCCAGGTGGGTTGATTAATGGAGGTGGTTTGCTTACTCTCGGAGACCAACACTGACCACTGATGAACATAAAGGAAAAGGATTGTAAAATCAATTATCTTACTGAGTCATTACATTGGGAGCATTGAGATTTTTAGCACTTAATTTATTTGGGCTTTACCTTCCAACATTAATGCCGAGAAGGAGAAAGTTTACTGGCACTAGCCCAGTCTGCTGAGAACAGAAACGTGCTGCAGAGCATCTGTGTGGAAGGGATGAAAAGCAACACTGAGATTTAAGGTACACACCAGAGATTATGTAAAACATAATCTTCCCAGGAGAGGCTGGGTGGAGTCCTACTCAAGAACTAGATTGCCTTGTGTCAGATGGTTTTCTGCCGCTGAGGATACTGAATTACTCTCTGCGCTGAAGGAGACATAAGAGCAAAATGTAAGATTAGGTTAATTCTTAGTTGCTAGCCATCTATTAGTTTTTCTTTGTTTGCTTGCAAACACTATGTGAAATGTAATGTACATCATACAGTAAAAACACTTCACTCGGGAGAATCGTGCTGGTTTTATGTATGTTTTCTGAGCATCTGGGAATTACCACACTGTGGAGGCAGGTACATACAGTTGCCAGCATCCATCTCCTAGTAGCATTAGATCTCTCACTAAAAAGATGATCTTTTTCATTCTGCAGGTTACAGCGGTGCTAAAGCATGGCTGACTTCGATAACAATCTCAGTCTTGCGGATGCTCTGACGGAACCACCACCTGAAATCGAGGCAGAAGTGAAACGAGACTTCATTGCCACCCTGGAATCAGAGAAATTTGATGATATGGTTGGAGAAACAGTGGGTAAAACAGACTATGTCCCCCTGCTGGATGATGATGATGAGACAAAGGCTGGGAGCCAGGATCCAAAAAGCAAATCCCACACAGACGGTGGTCAGGTAGAAAGTAAGTGTCTATAAACACCAGCCCAAATGGTTGCATTGTGAATAAATATTATCAGGACTCGACAAATAGTGTAATCTATTCGCCTGTGGTGAGTAGATTACACCCCGGAAGAGCCGACGCGGAGTGATTTGCTCATGCGCAGAACCATCTGTGCCTGCGCAAAGTGCAGAACCACGCGGTTGGCGAGCAGAGCTCGCCGCCGCTCAGTGAGCCCTGAATATTATAGTAAGCAAACAGTGGGCTTTCCCTGGTATTAGGCGTCTTAAAACTTTTTGTACACGATTTCAAACTAAGCAATGTCTAATTACGTTTCAGGACTAGGGAAAAAAAGGTCTGCATTCTAATCCCAACAGTGCCTCTGTCTTGGTGTTTGATCTTGGAAAAAATGATTTACCCTCTGCCTTAGTTTCCCAATCTGCATAATGGGGATACTTAACATTGCCAACTATCAGTGAGATTTAATGTTTTCATAGTGCTTTGGCCTCCTCAAATGGAAGGTGCTACACAAGTACTAAATATTACTACATACACTAAGTATTTTCACTCCAAATCCTATAATTGTACAAAGGCAGGGAAATATTATCCTCATTTTCTGTGTGCAGATACGAAGTCGCAGAGTTTAAATCACTTAAGTGCTGCCCAGAATGACAATGGTTAAATGAGGAGTAGAATCAGACAACATGGACAGGCTTTTGTGCTCACCTGTAGGAAATACTTCCTTTCTAGCATTCAAAGTGTGTGCTTTGGAGACCTTTTGGGGGGGGGGGGGGGGGGAGGAATTTAATCTTTTGCTGCATGACCATAACTCGCTGTGTTTACAAACATGCTTGGCATCATTCATTACTGACTTAGAAAACTTACTTAATCTGGTGATTATTGGGGAGAAATATCAACTTCTTGTTTCAGATGAGAGGATGAATAGACTTCTCTATGGGTGAATCAGAGGAAGGGACTTGGATTCAGGAGTATTGAATTCTGCTTCTTACTTGGCCTCTGGCTTAACACATGATTTATGGATAGTTCCTTAGCTTTCCTATGCTTGTTTCCTTATGTGAAGCACTTTGCTTTCCTCTCATGATATGTAGTGGGTAAACAAAAGCAAAGTACTCTGCATCTAACGAGGTAACCTGCTCATCACTGTGGATGAAGGGGGATTTACACTAATCTTGGTACTTATGCAGGTGGGCAAACAGGGTATATATAAAAGTCCTAAAATGGTCATCAGTCAAAATGAGAGATGATCCTAAAGTTCCTGCCTGGTGTGGCTCTGGATTGTATGCAGGAATTTGAGCCGCATCATATATTTTATTTGACATTATCTGAAAGTGTTAGGCAATTCATAATTCTGAACCAAAAATACTCCTGCTCTGAAAATCTTAGTCTAATATTAGAGATGATGTGATGAGTGGGGATAAACAGAGAGGGTGGGGAGCAGGATGAGGAAGGATGAAGGCTGTGGCAAAACATCATGTGATTACTCAGATTAGGCATGTTCTCCTCTTGGTTTAACTAACATTTTAATAGTAGGCACTGATTTGTTTATTGCGAGGGGATGGGAAAAACTTTAAAACTAAATCCTTGAAGCTAAATGGAAAAAAAAAAAAAAGGTTTTTCTGCTGGTATCTCTCAAAGTTGGAGCATGGCTACAACATCCTTTGCCAGAAAGATTCCCCTTTAATGTTAAAATAAAACATTGCAACATATTGCTTTAAAGTGCGAGACTTTCTATGAGGATGTGACCTATTAGGTGTCCATCCCTTGAAGGTTGAGCATGAGAGCTCATAGTGCTCTCTGTACAACTTCAGCAAATGGCAGTCATCTTACTCTTTGTCAATTAGAACCTATATAAGCTTTCCCATAGGAAAACTTGTGAGCTTATGAGAAGTGAATTGAGCTCAGGTCTCTCTGAACTGTTGTCTGCTGACATGGGCTGCTGGTCAGACTCCCCTTTGTATGTTAAAACAACAAGAAGTCCTGTGGCACCTTATAGACTAACACAGGGATTCTCAAACTTTGTGATACCGTGACCCCCCTCTAAGTTGCTCGCGACTCCCCGGGGGGTCGGGACCCACAGTTTGAGAAACACCAGACTAACAGATTTATTGGAGCATAAGCTTTCGTGGGCAAAGACCCACTTCGTCAGATGCATTTAGTGGAAATTCCAGAGGCAGGTATATTTGTATGTTGATTTTTCTACTATGAACTTTTGGCTTTCTAAAATGAGATGGCATTTTAAATTTTGTGTCAGGGTGTGCAATCAGTCATTTCAGAGACTGAATTGAATTTCTTACCTAAAACTAGCAAGCCTTTGAATATTATGTATGTATGTATTAATGCCTAGTGTTAGCTTTTAAACATAACAAAATTGGATGTTCAAATTGCCTAGGATTACCTGGCAATGGAAATCATAAGCATTATAATAGTGATAGAAATGTAGCCGTGTTAGTCTGGGGTAGCTGAAGCAAAATGCAGGACAATGTAGCACTTTAAAGACTAACAAGATGGTTTATTATATGATGAGCTTTCGTGGGCCAGACCCACTTCCTCAGATCAAATAGCGGAAGAAAATAGTCACAACCATATATACTATTTTCTTCCACTATTTGATCTGAGGAAGTGGGTCTGGCCCACGAAAGCTCATCATATAATAAGCATGATAGAGTTCCTATCTTTGATGATGAATCGATCTCTCCAAAGTATTTGGAGAACTTGATGACAGTGGGATGTGTAAGCTAAAGCTTTAAGTTAGTCTTTGTTCATACTTGACTGTTAAGGTTTATCAAACTTCTGCAATCTCAAATGGTGTCATTTACAAGCCATTTGTGGCTCTTTATCCCAGTATGTGCTACTTTCAAATTGTTCAGTCTTGTTTTTTTTTCTTGGAGAGGTGATGGGAGATCAGTTTCCTTGTGAAAAGGACCACGTTTTCTCATTCAAAGCCACAAATTATAACTGTTTAACACATCTTGATTAAACAATGCTTCTGGCAATATGTAAAGTTGGGTGGAATATGTGCTACCTGCCACTGAGAAAATTTTGTAGAATAAATCCAATTTAAATTTTGCATGGCCCTTAAGTTTGGAGGAGTGAAGCATTAGGCTCTGTTTTAATGTTAAATTGTAATATGAGGCTTTTGAGCACAGACATTGCTACATAATATTCAGCAAAAGTTTCACATCGAAAATTCCAGAATCTGACTTCCAAGCAGCTTTATTCTTTCATGAGGGAGGAAACTAACTTTCATGTATCAGGTCTTTTCAGCCCTTACTTGTTAATTTATTCATGTTAAAATGCTGGGATGTGTTTCAACAGCAGTATCTTTGCTGCTGACATGACTTTCTTCATTCAGAAACGGGTTTAGTCAGATGTCCAATCAGGATTCAGCTACAGGCAGTCCCCGGGTTACATGGATCTGACTTACATCGGATCCCTACTTACAAACGGAGTGAGGCAACCCCGCACTAGCTGCTTCCCCCCCGCAGACGAGGGAGACGCGAAGCGGCTTTTCTCAGTAGACACCTCAGCTTGAGAATAAAAGACTGAGGGAAGTGAGGTGTGGAAGAATAAGACTGAGCTCTGGAGAAATGTTTGGCTAGAGTTTCCCCTACAATATGTACCAGTTCCGACTTACATACAAATTCAACTTAAGAACAAACCTACAGTCCCTATCTTGTACGTAACCCGGGGACTGCCTGTATTTCATCTCTGCTAAAGTCTTTTTTTTTTTTTTTTTTTAAATCCATGAGCCAGATTAGATGAGCTTAACAGTCAGATGGGCCTGGGTGGACTTGTGTGAACCACAGCAATATTGATGGGTGGGTAAGAGAAGAACGAGGGTCTCAAAGTGAGACTTTAATTTTTTTTTTAAAGTCCTGGAGTGGTGCTTCTCACACTGGGATAGCCATTCCTAGGAAGTTTTAGACTGTAAGTAGCAAGTGGCTGGGTACAACTCAGCAAATTCCAGGTAATCCTCTTACCATGTTGTGGTCTTTACATAATGCTGGACGATACACACTCAAAGCAATACAGCTGTTTGTATGTTTTGCAGTGTGTACTTGTTTAATCTCAATCTTTTGGCCCAAAATTCAGGCTTTTGGAGGAATTCTCAAACAGTCAGGGCTTCAAGTGGTGATATCGCCAGGAGGCTATTGCAATGAAAATTACCTTTAATTGAAGTTTAGATAACACATTCTTCACCGGCTTTGAGCCCTGCACTGTTCAGATTCACGTTAAGTGAGGGCTGTATTATCCTATTTGGAAAAGAATTTAAATCCTCTCTCTTTTGACTTTGAGTAGGAGTGGGTGTCAGCTGAGAAGTAAGTGTCAAGATTTAATGTCCTGCTGCAGACAGGTATTCTGTCAGCTACAGTTTCCAAGCACAGGATGCTGCTTCAAAACATGATACTGTTGCTACTTTCAGGAGTGAGGAAAGAAATGTATGTTCTCTGTTGGCTCAGCTCTGCTTTGTTTCATTCTTTCCAGTGTGTATACAATGCAAAATAACATCTCTTCCTCCATCCCACTCACAAACTTGTGTGTTTCATCCTGGACACTCTATTCAGGTCCTCAAGTGGCCACCAGAGGGCAATGATAGTACTTGCTTATGGGATAGTAGACACAAATTGCTAAGTATCAGAGCAGAGTCTCCTCCCCCATAAGAAAACAAAGCACATCTCCAGGGCCATCAAGACTGAGATTAAACCATAACATTTCCCTTTCCTTTCGTTATCTCTTTCTCCATAGTAGCTATAGGTGCTTTCTGTGCAGAAGGCTGCAGACTTCCTATAAGTTTTTACTATGGTTTTGCAAAGAAAAATAAACCCTGACATCTCTGAGTTTAAGGACAGCAAATATTCCATATCTCTGAGTTTAAGGACAGCAAATATTCCATAAGTGCATTCTAGAAGCTGCATATTTAATTGAACTGGGAATTCCCTGAGTCTCAAAATGAGAATCAGAAAAAAAAATCTAATGGTTGTAGCAATCTGGAGTGATCTTTA